CCGAGCAGGTAGGAGCATCCTGCCCTCGCCCATGCCTCCCCCACGTGGAAAAATTTCATTATTGGAGGGTCATGTTAAATTTGTCTCCCCCCACCACTACAATGAGCTATGCAGCAGCATGTGGGTGAGTGCTGGAGGAGTCAAGCAGCCTTACCCCCACCCCTTGCCCCGAGCTGCGGCTCTGGGTTTGACTCTGGCCCAGGGCACAAAGCACATGCTGGCTCCGGGCACAGCGCTGGCAGCCCTGGCCGTCAACTAGGGCTGGAGCTGCCACCCCCGCTACATCCTGGTGAGAGGGGCAAAGGGCAGCGGTGGGAAAGGGGAGCCGGCCTAGCCTGCATCCACCTCATCTCAGCAGGCGTCAATACGAGGCAGCGCAAGAAAGCAGCAAACCCACCCCGGAGGGCAGGCAGACACCGTGCGCGGGCCGGGCAAAGCCAGGCCCCCGCGGCTCGGCCGGGCGCTGCCCGCAGAATCCCGCGCCCCTCGCCGCGCCGTAGGGAGCGGCCGGAACGGAGAAGCGCGTCTGTGCGGGGCGGGCCCGAGCTCGCGCTCACCTCGCGCTGTGGCCGCCAGCTCTAACGGCCCCACCGCGGCAGCCATCGACTCCCGCCGCAGCCTCACATCCCGCCCCGCCCCGCCACCTCATTGGGGGGCGGAGCCCTCAGTCAACACAAACCCTCCTCCTATTGGACAGCCCGCCGTCGCAATGAGCATTCTTATTGGATGCGGACGCTGCCCGTTCGGCCAGGGGCCGGGAGGAAGGAGGAGGGGAGGTTCACACACTCTACTTTTATTGGCCAGACGGGCCTAGCGGCGGCACGGAATAGAAATGATGCCCCTGTGCTCAGTTATGATTGGCGAGTTGCCTACCGATCACCAAAGTCGGAGGCGGGACACAGCGCCCGGAAGGGAGTTTTCATTGGAGGAGCCTTCTGACGAGGAAAGGGCGCGAGAAAGCGCGCATTCAAATGCCGGGGGAGGGGAGATCTTGTCTTACTCCCCCTCCTGCGAGGAGACGAGGATCTCTGAGGTGCGACCTGTTATTGCACCAGCCACGGAGTTGGTTCACTAAGAAATGTCACCCTAAGAAACCCTCGCCTCACGTGATCTGAGGACCGTCATGGCGACAACATCGCTCTTTACTCTGCTATGAGAACTTCCGAATTCCAGGCCAAATATATTTCCGATGAGTTTATAAAGATGTGTTCTGGTTTAAGTGTTTCTTTTAGAGCAGGGACATCAAACGCATCCAGCCCCACAGGCTGGGTGAGTAGCACAAAGACGGTGGGCAGGTCGGATGAGTAGCAGGGCTGATCAGGGAACCAGATTTCATAGACATTAGGGCTGGAAGGGACCCCGGAGGATCATCGTGTCTAGCACCCTGCCCCAGGGGCAGGAAGTAAGCTGGGATCATAGGATCCCAGCAAGATAAGCATCCAAATGTGTCTTGAAGTGGTTCAAAGTAGGTGCTTGAACTGCCTCTGGCAGCAGTCTGTTCCAAACCTTGGAGGCTCAGATAGTGAAGAAATTCTTCCTTGTGTCCAGCCTGAAACGGTCGCGGTGAAGTTTGTGACCGTTCGACCTTGTCATCCCTTGGGGCGCTCTGGTGAACAGACGTTCCCCCAGATCCTGGTGAGGACCCCTGATAAACTTCTAGGTGGCTTTTCCAGGCTGAAGAGTCCCATGGCTTTCAGCCTCTCATCATAAGGCCTGTTTTCCTGACCTCTGATCATGCACATGGCTCTCCTCTGCATCCTCTCAAGCTTCTCCACATCCTTTTTGAATTGTGGAGCCCAAAACTGGATGCAGTACTCCAGCTGCGGCCTCACCAAGGCCGAGTACAAGGGGAGAATGACATCCCGGGACTTGCTTGAGAAGCATCTCAAGCAAATCCTGCTTGAGAGCGGGCCCACAGACCAGCTCTGCATCCTGGATCCAGAGCACGAGGCTGCTCCAGTGCAAGCACTACAGGCAGCACACGTCACATGTAGTGCAAGTGCTGGACCTAGCCCCATATGTGCAGGATCCATCCCTGTGTGATACATGCAGCAGACATGGTCTAGCACACACCAGTCTGAGTCTGCGACCCTGGTCTAATCTGAGACCCATGGGCAGCAACATGGGTCAGATGATAGAGCTCCACGGGTCAGATCTGACACGTGGGCTATATCTTTTGACTCTTCTTTCCTGGTGTTTACTCCCTGGATGAATTTTCATATAGGGAACAATCACATCCCCTCTCAGCCTTTGTTCTGCTAAGCCAAACAAGGCAGTATCAAAAGAAGCAGAGTCTGCCCCAACTAATGGGCCACTTGCAAACCCCTTTTTACAGCTAGCGTCTGATGGTCTCAAACGCTGCAATGACCAAACAGGGGAAGGAGCAAGAGTTGCTGGATTCATTTTCATGTACTTGACTTGCTATAGTTTGAAAGTGATGGGGATGATTTGCTGAAGGACTTTGAATAAGCTCATTTATCATTGGTCCAACTTGCTTGAAGGTTAAATGCAGATGAGTTTCTGTCTTCAACCATACCCTGTTGCCAAAAGCAAAACTTGGTGCCTTCTGATTGATGCTGTTGGTCTGCATGATTAGAATCATAGAAAATTAAGGTTGGAAGGGACCTCAAGAGGTCATCTTGTTCAACCCCCTGCCCAAAGCAGGACCAGCCCCAACTACATCATCCCAGCCAGGGCTTTGTCAAGCTGGCCCTTAAAAACCTCCAAGGATGGAGATTCCACCAGCCTCACTGGGTAACCCATTCCAGTGCTTCACCACCCTCCTAGTGAGAGAGTTTGTCTAATAAGTGACCTAAACTTCCCTTCCTGCAACTTGAAACCATTGCTCTTGTTCTGTCATCTACCATCACTAAGAACAGTCTAGCTCCATCCTCTTTGAAACCACCCTTCAGGTATCAGATCCCTGCTCACTCTTTTTTTCTGCAGACTAAATAAGCCCAGTTCCCTCATAAGCCATGTGCCCCAACCCCCTAACCATTT